TTCATTGCAGTGAAAGGCCTTGTTGAAACCTCTACCAATACAGCTCCACTGAGTCCACCTACTCATCACATTGGATTGAAAATGATTTGTAGCCTTTCAATTTGTAACGTCCTCGTAACAGTTGCGGAAAGTGGAGACTTTACTTAACACCAGGTAAACTTGGTCAGTCATGGTCGATTTTACAAGCTTGATCACCTTGTTTTAGCTCAGTAACCAGACAGCATAACAATCACCAAAAAAAGTGTAACTTATTTGACTTCATAACAATATGTTTGAGGGGGTTGGAATCGGATTGCCATAAAATCGGAAGATATCTTTAGTGTGCATTTATTTGTTGTTGGAGTTTCTGGTTCATAATTCAGCCGGCTGGTGAAGTATTCAAAATGATGCAGCAATATCGATAGCTCACAAGCAACATGTTGGAGACCTCTGACCTGCCTCTCTGACCAGTTTTGCAGCCAGTGCTGAATATTAATAATTTATCACACAACTGGCACTGTCCCCACTAGCTTTAAAACTGTTGGTAAATTTGCTTAAACCCCTATTGACTATCCTTGAGGCTTCTATTCTATTTAAGAGTACTGAAAAATATTCTGTCTCAACAACTTTTAGTCCCCATTTGTTATATTATTCTTTATTGATTCTGACTTTAGGGCTTGTTGCTCCACTGAAACTCTTACTTAATCTCAATGCTGCTACACCATGGATAAATTGTATTCTCCAAGACCAACTGCATAACAAACAATCACATTGTTAAAATCTTAATTGAGAGAACAGTGTGTTTCCTATAATATTAATTCATCTGGTTTTTCTGATGTGAAATATGTAGAACCTATTACCTACTGGCAAAATTCTTCACTGGCTGTGTGACCATATAACTTTAGCTTCCCCTAACTGTCTGTTAATGTCAAATAGGATATTGTGTTATTCTAATGAGTTACAAAATCATAGATAGGCATGCCCCATCCTGTTTGTAATGTTATATTCCATCGTGTGCACTTAGTTTTCAGAATACAGAGGTCTTGTGTGTCCATGGATTATTTTTAGTCAGCAGACTGCAGGGCCTTTTCTTATTGTTCACCCTTCCTCTCAAATAATCTCCCTGCTGACTGTGTAGCTCCACTGAAGCCTTTCAATACAAATTAAAAACACATTTTGCCACATTACCTTTCAGCTACTGGTTTTTGATTATTTCAGGCCTTGTGCCTATGTTGAAATCTCTGGGGGGTCGGACTCAGTCTCAATTACTCTGTAAAATATTATACATATGATAGAGTTCATGTGGTCCTGCAAACTAGGTTACGATGCAGGAATCTGTGTCTATTGGCCATGCTATGTCTATCACTATCTCTCTCTTCTCTTTTTCCCTTTTTTCTTCCCCCCTTCCTCTCCTTCACTCAGGCTATCTGCACTGGACCCTCGGGCATTCTGGAACATTGCTGTCTCATTCCTGGCTTGTTGCTACCTCATTCCAGATGTTTTGGATCTGTTGGTGGCATCTGGAAGTTGTTTGACATTGTTTGTTTTTCCTTATCTGATTCAGAGGTCTAAGGAAATAGGTTAGTATGCTGTAAAGATTTGGCAGATTTGTTATATTGGGCTATAAAAATAAAAGTATACTTGAAAATGGAGTGCTCAATAAGGGATCGTTAGACTCAAGGTTCTGCTTGATTAAAAACAATACAAACAACATTTGTTTATTAATATAAGCTTATAGTAGCCCATGTATAAAGTACATACTTTTGTGTGACTATTACATATCTTTATCAGATGATGACACATCAGGTGAAACAATGATTAGCAGTAATAGTTGAGTTTTGGGTTGAAAACTAGAAATATTGCATGTGTTTTGCTATTCGTGACATAAATTGCATTCCTTGATATGTTTTGTTCCTCCCACAGTTTTCTTGTTGACTGATACCCAATAGTAAATAAATCCAATGAAAGAACAAAGTATTTTCTACCAACATAACATAACCTTCAGCATAACCACAACTGTTAACACTATTTTTATCCTTCTCCTAACCTTAAATCATGTCTTTACTCTAACATTTAATTAAATACAATGTGACCATGTAAGCAGACTTATGTCTACACAGTCACAAGCCCAGTCCCCCAGCCCCACCCACCCCAGCCACGGTGAGAGCTATCTGATATATGCAGAGCCATGATTGCTAATGTTCACCACTAGATGTCCTCAGAGTTATACCAATATGTGGTGGTAAGTAGGCGGTGATAGTATGTTCAAGTGCTGTCAGAGAGAGCATAACTGCTTTTGACTGAACATTTAGGAGCCAGAAAAAAACATTGATTTAAAACGTTTTACCTCTTTGTTATTGCTGGCTCAGATGAACCTGGACCTTAGTTATAGTGCTATAGGCCCTGTACATGCTGGGGCACCTCTGTCTGCATGCATTCATATCATATTTATATATGGTGTGAGTTGTGTCTTCCTTTAAAGCACTATGTAAAACTGTAAAAACAAAAGAGCTATAAAGTGTATTAATTTTACTAATATTATTATTACTATCATTATTATTATCAAATCACATTACAACATTTCATTGGCTTTTCTCTCTTGTCTGTACTTTATTGTCCTCTCACGGTCCGGATCTATCACTAACTAACTATCATCAACTGCTGCTGCCATTGTTGCTATAAAACAAATGGTGTGAATAAAATTGAATTGAATCAAACCCTCCTGAGGACTGGGCACTGCTCATCACCTTGATAATTCTGCCCCTTTAGTAAAGCATGGGGGTGCCAGGATCATGCTAAGGGGGGCTTCAGAGGCAGGAAGACTGTTCCGAGTTGAGGGAAGGATGAATGCAACCAAATACCGACAGGTCATTGAGGAAACCTGTTCCTAAGTGAGCATGAACTGTGACTGAGGGTGACAGTTTTCCTTTCAGTACAACAATGAGCTGAAGCACTGAGAAAGATGTTGGAACCTGTCTTTACCAAGGACAATATGATCTTCACTACTACTTTCTGTCAAGGCCGTGGTATCTGAGAACATTGTAAAAAATGGAGCGCATGGCTTTAAAAGTCATTGGTGCACTATTTGCACCTGTGTATTGCTGTTTCTTCTATTTCACACATGATTTGCAAAAATGGCAAACAGCCTATCTTGTGGTCATCTCAAGATCAAACGAGACTAAACCACTACAAAACACTATGCTTCTCATATCAAAATCAGGGTTAGGGTTGAAACCCAAGGATTTTTTATCTTTGGCAAGTAACGATTAAGCAACAACTCATTATCAATTGTCAAAGGCAACAATATGTTATTTCACAATATTCATTCATTTATTGCAACTGAAGCACTAATGTTAACACAGTTCAGAGTTAGAGACTTTACTGTACTTGAGTTCTTATGACGTTTTGAAACAATGGCAGCCCATTTCAATTTCTGCATTCAGCCAAGTACTGATCAAATACTCAGAAACCTCTTTGATCCCCTATTCTATCAGGGATGATATATGATAGAGCTGACTTATGTCTTATAGAGCAGCTAAATAGAATGCACTGCTCCACAGCCAATTGTGCTGACAATTTTGAAAATGTTTTGTCTTTGGGCTGTTATTATATTATTCCATTATTATGGGTTTCAGCTCCAAACTACCCAGTCTGATGTTATGTGATCAGTTTCTGGTCTGAAATGTGAAGACCCACCTCACACGTTTGATTTTTAATGACATTTAAAGTGTATCTTGAAAAAGTGGAAATTTCAGTTCAGAGGGATGTTTAAGAACAGTCAGGTACAGTTGTGTTATAACTGCCAGAGCTAAGCTGGGTGACTGGTCTGGACCTTTGAGTTGAGTTTAACTTCGAACTCCCAAGTAAAAAAGTCTGATGTGTAATGTATACTGTGACTGCTGGGGGAACTTTTCTCTCTTCCTCTCTTTGTCTGTCTACACCCACATTCATTTAATCTACTACATGCCACTTATGTCTTTTTATCTCTCTCTCTCTTATCCTGCCGGTATTGCTGACTCAAGAACAACAATTATTATAAGTATAAATGTTATTGTAGTTTATTATCATATTGTTATTATTATATTCACTTGTGCTGCAATCATTAAAAACATCTTTACATCTATAATCATCACACTTATTATTCTCATTATGACAACCAGTCTGACTGAGAAACATGATGGCAACTGTTCCCTGCCCCTCTTCTCTCTCTCTCCTCTCACCCCAACCGGTCGAGGCAGATGGTTGCCCACTTTGAGTCTGGTTCTAGAGGTTTCTCTCTGTTAATGAGGGAGTTTTTTCTCTTCACAGTTCCCAAAGTGCTGCTCATTGTGGGAAGTGTTGGGTTTCTCTATCATTATTAAGGTCTTGACCTCCTATGTAATGTGCCTTAAGACAATGTATATTATGATTTCTATACAAATAGAACTGAATTAAAAATGGAGTCATGGTTGGTCTTTGATGCATCCATGACTCTGACACTGTGATACTCCAGTGAGGGAGGCTGGTCTGCTCTCAGGAACAACCAAGCCTCGTGATAAGACTGGAAATGACACGTTTCCAAAATAAAGGCCCAATCAGGGAGAAACGAACACACACAAATACACACGCACAAAAACACACGCACACACACACACACACACACACACTGTGTGGGAGAAACGTCGTATGTGACCTACATCTTCATGGAGGAAGTTGTGTTTGTCTGCATTTTATGGTTTGTATGTTTGTTGCGTATTTCTAGTCTGTATGCATTTCTGTCCTTTGTCTATCCCGCGTGACTCTAAATATCGACATTACCACTGTTCCTTTGTTGAATTCTATTTGATTGTTTTGCTTCATACGTATTCCTTTGCATCATTTGTAATTGCATAAGGAGAATTCAATCCGGCGATTTATTTTTTGATCAGTTGAAAGTCATAATGGAATAGTAAGTCCTAAACACGGTTTAATTTTGGTCTGTAAATCCAATGTGCTTCGCTTGGGTAATTATTACACGGTCGCCTCTCTTATTGTGAAAGGCCGCGCCCGGAAACCGCTTCTATTTTTATTCTGTCTGTCTGGCCCCGGTATGTGAGGAGGACTTGGACGGGAAGGGACGGAGACGCTGTAGACTCGAGGGACCGATTTAAAGACTGGGTGCGTATCTTACACTCGTGAAATGTGGACGGTTCAAAGTGCAGGTCCAGTCATTGTCTTTTGCCAAAGTCTATCTTATCGCCTGTCAGTTAGCTTGCTAGCCAGCTAGCTCCCACGCATAGTGTCTCGCCTGCCGTCGCCTCAGTGTCTCTTGTCTCCGGTGTTGGCAGGTGGCGCAGAGCCTTTGAAGACCGACACCGTCCACTGTCCCCGGCTCTTCCACTGGCTTTGGAGACGTTTCTGCAGCGGCGAGCGTGTGTTTGATCGGATACAGGATGTCTGGCCAGAGCATTACAGACAGGATAACCGCCGCACAGCACAGTGTCACCGGCTCGGCGATCTCCAAAACTGTGTGCAAGGCGACCACGCATGAAATAATGGGACCAAAAAAGAAGCATTTGGATTGTAAGTATCCCGTCGGTTGTGGCCATAGCTGGAGATTTCAGTTTAAGTTCCGGTTGATGTGTGAATGGAAGTGGCTGTGAGGCCTGCACACAGGCGACATGTCATGTTAATGTAACGCTAACTCAGCCCCACTATGGCAGCACACAAAACACAGACATTCAGAACATAGAAGCCCTGTGTTTTATCTGAGTCAGTTATGATAACTGGTTTGTTTGTAACACCACTCAGTGTTGTTGAATATTGTTAATTATATGTAACGTGAAAGCTGTACCACTTTTCTTTAGCTACATTCTGTCAGTCACTATATTTACTGCATTATATTTACATAAAGAAGTCAACCCGAGCTGAACTTTAGCCCAGAAAACAATGTCACCTACTCGAACAACAGTGTTGTTGAAAACAATTCAATTCAGCCGGAGTTTGTTACACTTGAAGTTGAAATTCATATTCCACATTTAAATCACATTTCAAGTTGTAGAATCCCGTTTGCCCTCTGGTACAGGCAGCTGTCAGAATATACCCAAGAGTCAGGCATTTAAATTGAAGTGGGTGGTGTCCAATGCATTATGTGACAATAATTAACTGCTCGAAATCTGAAAGGCTTGAAGGTGAATTGTTATATGCTTTGACATTGTTTTGTTTGAGTTATTAATGTGTGAGCTTTGGTAATAGTCATTGTCAGTTGTCTGCTTGAATACTGAAATAATCGTTTAAAGCCCAGCAGACTTCTCTGTGTTGGCCTGTATGTCTTTAGTGCCTGTTGAGTCTGTCTACCTCAGGAAGTGACTGTGGACTGTGGACTTTGATATGCGGCTTTATTGAGGTCACATAAGCCAATGAATATTGAGCAGTGTCGACCAGAGCTAGCGCTACTGTCTTTCATAGAGCTTGTTTTATTGTAGAGCTTTTAATATTAAAGCAATCTCTCCAGCTGGAATTTAACAGTTATTCTCTCCGTGGTTGTGGGAAGGTTGGACTGCTGCATGGTTGACACAGATTCTGAATTTCCTGACGCTTGTCTCATGACTGAAGTTCTTTTAGTTCCCAGACCCGCATAGTGCTGTCAGGGGCTTCATATATAGACATTTCTTTGTTTGATATCCACAGGTTGAACAACATTGACATTTAGTCCACAGTGCATGTGCCAAGAACGAACTGTCACGATTTTGTTTGTGGCTTTGATTTTAGTCATCATTTCAGCTAGATATAAATCCCCTTCCCCAATACCTTAGTGAAGTCTGTTAGGAGTTTCTTTACCGAACATATACTGTGACCTTATGAAAGCGACATTTTGACGTTCACACCCACATCATGATTGGCCAACTGTGTGGTGGTGATAGAGGAACAAGGCATTTTACTTAGCTCTCTAGGTCTCTTTTCATATGTTCAGCAGGAAGTTGTGACACTAAAGCTTAGGTGTGGGTAATTTGACAATTTTATATCATAATTGATCTTGAAATTGTACACTATGTAGTTTTGAAGTTAAGTGTTACAGATGATGATGTTTTGCTATATTTAATATTGATCTATCCTAATGGATCCATGCTACACTCAGAAACCAACAAAATGGACACTAAATTGCTGTGCTGAAAGGCCAAATTATCCATATAGTCTCCCTTATGAGTGACGTATTTGAAAAACAATTCCATGTGAGGAAGCAGCATCGACAGATTGGGAGCTGGTGCCAAAGTGACTCCTCATCAGTGTGCCAGTGGTTTGACTCTGCATCATCAGGTGTTTCTCAAAGCAAAGTTATTTGTAAAGTGTTTTGAGACAATTGGTACATTAAGATATAATATGAACAAGATTGGCCATGCACAGTTTGATCATGGTCAACCCTGTTTTTCTAGAATTTAAAGTTTAAGTAGTTTAAGTAAAGTACTTGGTTAAAGCTGAAGAAGTGCACATGTTGTTCCTTTATAGTAGGAACAGGGGAGCTGTAGAACACATCAATCATATTTTAGTATGTTAGCACTTTCAGTCTCAATTAGGGCTTGGCAATAATACAATATCAATAATTATGGCAATACAATTTTCATAAATAGCTGAATAACAAAAGATGTATTGATGCTAATACTTATGCATTGTGTAAGCACAGTGAGGATGTCTCACACATAACTGATCTACCTGAGATTTGTAAAGTGAGGAAGCCAAGTTAAAGGAAATTAAATATCTATCATGATAATTATCGATATCCACAGATATTAAATTTTTTTCTTGATATCATTTTTGGCCATATTCCACAGCCCCAGTCTGAATTTTGTCGGCTGTGCCAGTTTGTAGTCCTGCAGGTTTTCTGTTTGTAACTTTCAAAAAAATGTCACTTTTTACTTTCTCATTCAGCTGTTTCTTTTAAGTTCTAGACTATCTGTGATTCTGGCCTACCCCTGTCAGCCCTGCAAGTAAAAAAAGGCACAGCAGGCTCCAGTGTTTGACAGCCCTTTGCTCTACCAACAGCATACACACAGTGAATCTACGATGCAAATTGGCTTTCACAGTTTAAAGTAAATTGAATTTGTCCAACATTCAGCCTGTTGTACGGTTGACAACAGAGATATTTGTACTCAGGTATTCTCATGATATTTGTGTGGAGTTTGAAGATCCATAAACTATATTTTCAGGACGATCTTTAGTAAGAAACTGATTAATAGTCTTTGTTCTGTTGTATCCGCTGGCTTTTAGCAACAAATGATGTACAAGTCACTGCAGGCAACCCCCCGGCACAGTGTGGAATCCACTTCCATTTACCTCCTATTTTTAGGCCTGGTTGGCCAAGGAGTACCATATTTGATGTTGGAATATGTGGGTTTTTGAATATCCACAGCTTTCAGCTGATGGAGTATGCTGTAATGGGGCCATGTCCCAGTGACCTTCCTGTTTCCACTCAATCAGGTTACATGTGGCCCCTCTGTGGAGCTGCTGAACATAAGCTTATCCTTGGAAATCTAGGGACCCACTTCTTGGCAAGAATCTCACTTAGGTTTGAGGTATTTAAAGATAGCTGAAGTGTTCTCTTGTGTTGGAGTTTCCTGACACGCTGCACATAGCCTTCTGTGTTCCTACTGTCTGGATTGCAGGTGAGATGTGGCCCTCAACACTGTCTATGTTGAGTTTGTGCTGGGCCACAGTTCACATTCTTTAACACTGGCATGCTAGATAAACTCAGTCACATAACTTTAAAGAGCCTCTTCAGTTAGCAGACAGGTAAAAGTAAAGGGTGAACAAATCAACTTCTGCTGTGTGCTTTAGCTTATTTACCTACATGTTGGTTCAAAGTAGGTGTGAAATGACTTCTGGGAAAATTTGCACCTAAGTGGGTTTATCACTGTGTACACCCCAACAGACTATGAAACTACTGGCTTTTTGGACCTGCGGCTCCACACTTCTGTTATGTATGTTTTTTGCTTTGGAACAGTGGGCAGCCCAGGTGCATGGCAGCATTTTTTTTAGTCAAAGTTGATTACATACTGCTGTTAAACTGCTCAAAGGTCTCTCATGAGGTAATGAATACATGATGTCAGCAGTAGCTGGGGACCTTTGATATTGCCCTTTGGTCTGTGGTGCATTATTTAGAAGGTCATATATACATGTGTTAATTAATATTCACGTCAGTCATGTACATGTAATGTGCAATGTGGATCACAAATTCAAATGTTTGAAAAACATTATTTGTTGAATTCCATGCCCGGGATGCATGCCAGTGTTTCCTATAGGATTTTTTACCAGTGCGGGAAGGCCGGTCACCACTGACCCGAGGATCTGGACATTCTCAAGACTGAAAAAATGGCTTTTCGGTAAACTAATTTGTAAAGCTGTAGACTGCAGACACAGCTCTACAGAAATGATACCTGCATTGCATTTATTTTATTCTTGGATTTTAGTCAAAGGCTTTTTCATTTGTGTACATTTGGCATACATATGTTTTAGCTCCATTATCACATCAATGATTGGACTACTATCAGCTATTTAAAAAGAGGTCAAAGTTTGAAAGCTAAATCCTTTGTTGTCACTGTTTACTATAGTTTGTAGTGTGTGTTAGGTCTTTGAGCGAGGCCCTTATGTTCCACTGACCATCTCACTTACAGCGCTGGCTTACGAGCAGATCCTCATAGAATGAAAATGTGGAGCTTTGAACAGTCTCAAAATTTCTCACCTGTTTTGAGTTTGGTGGGTGGATTGTACTTGTGGTTTCATCTGATCGTCTGTTGGCAGCATTTAACTCTCGACCAATGGAACTGTATGACCCGTGAGTCGAGTACACATGGCTGTTTTTTTTTAGACATTGTTATTCTGTTAAACCACTTAATATAGCAATCTGCTAATGATCTGCAGAAATTAGGGCTGTAAACTAAGTTTCTGTTCTGGTAATAGACAGAAATGGTCAAGTAGAATTGTCACAGTGGTGAAGTCAGAAGCCCAAGAGAACATTTGGAAAATAAAGGGCAGACATACTTTCATTGTGCTGTAAGGTGAGCCTTAATTTATCCACAAAAATGCATGCCCCGTGGTGAGAGTGGTGGGTAAAACTGCCTTGAGAAATCAAGACTTACCGGTAATCAATTTAAACCCTGGTGTCACTGTTCTATAGCCATTCCACAATCCAATCAGAATGTGATTTATAATAAGTCATAGCAAAAACCTTGACTATCGCTGCTTTAATGAAACAGCAGATTGTTCAGAGCAGAAGAGCTTTAAAGCCTCATGTAGTTGCATTTTTAGAAAAAGTTACCCCATTATTTTTTACTCAGGCAGCATTAACGACCTACAGTGAGAGTTCTGACTGCTCAAAATTTGTATTGATTTTATTGGTTCAGCAATGTTATTTCACTTACTGGTGCAGCATGATTGAATTAATGGAGTAAAGTGCATGTGTTAAAATCCAATATTAAGTAAATCATGAAAGAACAAGATGGCGATAACAGTGCTGTGTGCTCTTCCTTCTTATCCTATAATATCTGGGCCTCTTGTCAGACAGAATGAACGTGGCTGTTTGTTTGCAC